AAAAAATTTATTTATAGTACGGAACCGAACGGAACCGAATAGAACCGAACCGAACCGAACCGAACCGAAACCGAACGGTTCCAAAATTATATTTGGAACCGACGGTTCCATTTACTAAATACCCGAAAATTTTTGGAACCGAAAAAAACCGAACCGAACCGACCCGCGCCCACCCCTATTTAATTGTCAAATTGAAGAAATGACGAGTTTTGCTACATAATTGAAAGTTGGAGATGGATTGTATTTTAAAAAATAAAAAAAAATAGTAGATCGTAGATTTGTTATATTTAGTAAAGGTTGGTGAAGAAAAGTGCTAATTTCCTTATTAATTTTTATAATTTATGTTTCAAAAGCCCGAAACCTTCCTCAAGGAGTTCATACTCATTGGAGTTGGGACTCTTTGTCCAATTATTCTATTAGCATTGTCACAAGCGGCTAAAAAAAAAAAACCGCCAAGCCTCATTCAAGACTAGTTCTTGCCCTTAGGTGGCAGCCTTATGTGTTGCCTCCCTCTCTACGAGCTTGCCGGCAACAATTAAAAACACCATTTGAAAAGGTTGATATATCTTCCTTTCTGTCGTGGATTGGAGAACTGACTCATAAGGTTGATCCCTCTTTTGTGTTAGCTCTTATCTAATCTATCTTTTTGACAATCAGAATTTGATATTCAAGGGCTCGCTATTGCGCACAGTAAACCAGCAGAAGAAAAAATTGGCCTCAAAAAATTTTGGTCTAAAGCAACCACCTATTGGGCTTCCGCTCCGGTCCAACCTATGCATACTGAAAAGTCGTTGCCTTTCTAATATGAGTATTATCCAGGACCACCAAATAGTGCCCCAGTATGAAACAACGAATTATCTTCATTGACTTCAACCTCAAATATGTGCATATTGAAAAGTCGTTGCCTTTCTAATATGAGTGTTATCCAGGACCACCAAATAGTGCCCCAGTATGAAACAACGAATTATCTACATTGACTTCAACCTCAAATATGTGCATATTGAAAAGTCGTTGCCTTTCTATTATGAGTGCTATCCAGGACCACCAAATCGTGCCCCAGTATGAAACAACGAATGGTCTTGATTGACTCGTGCTCAATGATGTCCCATTCTAATAGACACTTTGATATTTATAAATTAAGCTCATTTCAGTGCTTTCATTTCAAACATTTCCAATATATTTATCAAGTATTCAAAAAAATTCAGTAAAAAAAGTACAATCAAATTGGGTTTATTGACAAAATTATTATTATGTTATTCAAACAAATACAAACAAATATTTTTCAAAGAAACTATGTTGGTTTTCTTTGGTTTTTTGCTCGATCCTTTTCGATTCGGTACCTAACGCTCGCTTGTTTTATTGGATCAATAAATTTTCAATTTTATTAAATTCGGTTTGACCAAACGTCAACCCAATGAATCGACGACCCATGCCCTTGATCGAGCTGGATGGGATATATTACAACAATGCAAGTGAGTCGGTAAAAAATCAAGTCAACCAGCAATTTTTAAAAAAATGAACCTACCTACCCAGCTTGACCAAATTGATTGAATTTTAAAATTTAAGACTGAAACTTTAGGATCCAATGATTTGGATACTAGACCTCTATGTAATAAGAATAGCACCTTACCACTAAAATAAGCAACACTTTGTTAGAAATGGCAAAACTTTCCGTTCAACTCAATATGAGCGAGCTACGCCCCGAATGAAGTGGGGATTACCTGCTTAACCAGGTAGACAGAGGGAGGGTCATTGCCCTAAAGCGGGTATGTGAAACATAGTCCCCACCCCTCTACTCATCTCGTTTAAAATTAATTTTAAATTTAAGTTTTTTATCAAACAAAAATAATACATTTATCATCATTTTTAAAGAAAACATGCGTTGGTTTTAACAAATTGGTAAAAAAGTAATAATATTTACTAACTAAAGACGTAAAAAAATTTTAAAAAATGAGGTGATATATGGGGCAAGGGACCTACCCCGCCTTGATCATACCTCGTCCCGTTTTAATAGAATATGGGAATGGGGTAAGGTAACAAAAATATCCGAGAGGACGGGGGTGAGAATTGTCGACCCGTCTTATACCCACCCTGTTACCATCCCTACACTTTGTTGTCATTTTCGTGTAATAATTTACTATTTCTATAAATATTTTGAAAGAAAATAGTTCAATATTTTACTTTATTTTATAATACAAAATAATTATTTTATACACTTTTATATATGGAATTTTTAATTTTAGTTAAAATGAAATGTATTTATAATGACATTAGTTTTTGGTCCATAACTGACAAATGATCTTTACATAACAAAAATGTAAATATTATAATTTTTTAATATAATATGTAAAATTATAAAATCAAAACGTAATCATTATCGCTAATAAATAAGTTTACAAAATCATTAATTTAAAGACATAAAAATAATTAGTGACAAATAACTTAAAAAGTTTAATTGTCTTAGGAAAAGAATCATACTTTAAAATCTTTTTAAATAATTTTTAAGTAGTGATCCCCCGATCCACCATTGATTGATCCAACTAGCAACTTGATGACACAATACCTCGATGGGGTCAATGCCCGAGTAAGATCTAATAACTATGATTTTATTTTATTCGAATTGAATCTGTTTATTGCTAATTTAATTTGGAGAGTTATGAATTTGAGTCTTGAAACCCATTATTTTTTCAATAGTTAATAATGTATGAATTGGTATTTTGAACTATCTATGGCTTGGTGCTTCAAATTGAAGTTAAGTGATTCGATTGCAACTAGAATAAAAATTAAGTGACCATCATTGTAATTGTTACTCTATAATTCAATTATGCATATTTAGCTCCAATTTTTCTTCAAACTCATTTGGACCATATATTTTTTAGATTCAAAACATTTTAAACCCCGTATTTTATCAGCTTTTATCAAAATATATTAAAAATATAATTTTAACCCAACCAAAATAGGCTTAGTTTACATCCTTCCACATCGTCTCGGTTACTATTAAACTTGAACAATATTATAAGCATAATTTTAAAGAAAATTTTCCTAAGTACATGAATTCATTCACGGAATTCCTATAGGTGTTGTTGTGGCAGCACCTGATTTGCATACAATTTTTGGTTTTTTTTTTTTTTGTCATCTACTAATGAATTTGTATCATATGGAATCTTGTAAAAATTTTGTGAAAATTCTCCGGTAAGCATTGCTCAAATTTAAAACATAAAAAAATAGAAAATTCCTCATATATATAAAATTATTGGATAATGCTATGTGTACACCTTGTGGTGTACATAATCTTTTATATCCTCTCACACGGAGGGGCCCACAAATATTTTATTATATGTGGGCCCCCTCTCGTGAGGGAAGTGTAAAATATTGTGTATACATAGCACAATCGAAAATTATTATAAGCTAAAAATGTTTAAATTAACAAACGGGTATAAAATATGACTGGTAAAAGAATCATTTCGTGAAGTCCAGCTGTTTCCTACCCCACCCCCGCACCCAACTCTTTTGACTTTCTTGATTGACGTTTCTTTTATAATTTATTTAAATATATACCTCGAAATAGGTATCATTTTCAAAATATTTGTTTAGGTTGAATTATTTTATAACTTTTTAACGTCCTCTCATCTTTCAACTTGCGAATTTTGCAGTAAGGTCTCTAACTTACGATTTATGTATTTACATCTATAACCATCAAGTTCTGATAGTCGATGTTGTTGGGCGTCAAGTCGTCAACCATCCTTAACTAGATTAACATTTTGTATTTACTTCTTTAGGCGAGCTGCATGAAATTAAAGCTAGCTCTCGTGATTCATTTGATTAAACGCAAAATAATAATATAAATAATAATCATTCAATAAAAGAACGATCCATTAAACTAAAAATCATAAATCTAGATATTTTTTCTTTTTTGCCAATTATGGTCCTCTATTTTAACAAATTTTACAAGAAGACCCCAATTCTAGCTATTCCGCCTTTCCGTTACTTATCTCCCCTCCAACTACCTAGAACTTACAAAAAGGCCCCCAACTTTCACTTTCTTTATTTTTCTTCACTTCTCAGCCGGCCGACTCAAACACGACAAATTGGTCATCCCCCTGCATTGTGTGTTGCGTATGCCTGTGCTCCCCTTCATAAGTTACTATCAACATTGATGGATCATCGGTAGCCCTCTCGACGTGCTTTCTTGCAGGGCATCCCCTTACCGTACTGCACTTGTAATAACCCCTGAACATCAAGAAAGGATATATCACTTCACTGGTGAACAAATTCGTTGTCTTTACATGATCAAGATTGATGGTGCATAGTAATTACCGTGGGTATGGTGAACCCTTGATCGGCTTTTGACCATACTTTCTCCACGAATAGTCGTCAGCTGGAATATCTGCAATTTTGGAGCTACAAGCTGGGACTCTAATTGTTCTCTTTACCCTCGATTTCCTGCAAAATCAATACATTTATCAAGGTCGTAATTCATAGTTAAGGGACAAGGTGATATGATCGCGACACAACTATTAGAACGTGTTCGATAGAGATTAAAATTGGATTAAAATTGAAAAATTAACCATTATTGTTGACTTTTATTAGACGAATGAAACCCAATAACGACTGTATTTTCAATTTTAATCGGATTTTAAGTCCTACCAAACATGCCCTTAATGAAATTAGATTGATTGCAATGTGTTGTATGAACACTAACTAAGCACGCGTATTAATTTTTAGACCGAAAATTGATAATAATGAAAAGTTCTTAACGTGCGCAGAAGGACGGGCCCTAATTCTACTGTGCGCCGGATACGTCCAGGCGCAGGTGTCCAATAATGAAAAATGACAGGTAGAAGGAGTCGACGATTTTACACCGTGCCAGCTAACGTACGCAACAGTCGACATAGAGACTCGTTCAGACAACGTAGCTGTCACGGATGACTTTGGTCACAGGTAAGCGTCGTTTTCACGGCGACTTTGGATGCTATTGTGCGCCGGTAGGCGGTCTTCTTTTGTTTTTTTGGCGTACTGACGATTTGCTTTTTCTAATAATAATAATTTTGTAGGAAAAGTCAACAAAATCGGTTGTTTCAGATTTTAGTAGTTTAAAACTATTATTAGGAATTAAAATCAATAGTTAAATCATTTAATTATCTAAAATACGTACCTCTTCTTGCAATGGCACCTGCCGGAGATGTTATCGGACTGGGTGTGCTCCCGGCACCTCTTCCCGGAGAGTGGAGGCTTTCCGGCGGAGATAGACGGGACTGCCGGAATCGTAAACATAGAGAACGACCCACCTTTGCCGTTTGACACGCTCCCGTCGCCAGTGATAGACGAAATGAACGTCGTTGACGAGTTCCCTGACGTCGACAGTGCTGCCGATAAGCCGAAGCCCTCTTTGCACGTCACGTCGTTAGTGCAGTCCTTAGCAAATGGGGTGGAACCCACCGCGCTTGGATTGATGAAATCAAGAGTAAATGCCGGTGCCGGAACGGGCTCCAGCGTCAAAGCAGCTACCGGAGATGTAGGGAATAGATTGAGATTAAGATTCTGCTGAGGCTTATAATACCCAGAAACGGGAGGATGCTCCGGAGGCAACTGACGGGACCCAGAAACACGATTTTGATACTCAACTGAAGTGAACCGCTCCGGTGTCGGATGATGTACCGGAGCCCGGCGGAAACGGGCATGGCCAGTCTGATTCAGAATAGGTATAACTTTCTTAAACTTAGAAACCGTAAAATCAGTTATTTCTGTACAGTCGATTTGCTTGTTTTGTTTTTCATTACGAGAAACCAGCCGGATTAAATCGTCCATTGATTTCAACCCCGCCGTCGCCGCCTCCTGCAACGCCACTTGCTCGTTCATGTTAGAATACCCCATCATTTGCACCGCCATTTTTTCTCAAAAAAACTAAAATAAAACTTCTTAATCCAATTTCGAGATTTACTGATCCCACATCACAAAACTGAAAAACCCAAAACCAAATCAAGAACAGAAATGAGAGAAAAGGAGCAGAAATTGTAATGGGGCGTTGCTGTGGGGATGCATATAAAGAAGAGGAGGGTGACCCGAAGACCGGAAGGTTTTAATCAAACGGTTGAGATTTGTTTTGAAGAATTCAATGCATTTCAGATGAGACGAAATAGAGGCCCTTTTGTCTGTTGGGTGGGCCCTAGTTGTGGAAATATTAGGAATTGATATTGCCAGTATCTAATTCTATGCTTCCAGATCAACATACATTTCTTACTGCACGAAGTTAAATTGAAGTAGTGGTGAAATTTTGGGAACTAGGGGTGCTCTAGTAAGGAAAGATTGCGGGGCCCAAGCTGTTGAATTTCTCGTGATGGTCAGTCAAAAGAGAGAGCTGGTAAGATTACAAAAGGACAAATTGGGGATTAGAAAGTCCAAGTTGGTAACAATAATTAGCTTTATAACGTACATTAATTATCGTAGTTGGGATTATGGCAATCTCATTCTCGACTCGACTGATTTTGTTTTTCATACGAATTAAGAAATTTTATTTAATATTATTCAAAAAGTAATTTTTATCAAAAAAAATTTCTTGTTGACCCTTATTTAATTATCGATAATTAGCAGTAAATTATTGTTGAAATTAAATGATTTAATTTTCAATTCTCCCATTAGTTATAACTAAACAAATTAAATAAGTGTCTATTATTAAACGAACAAAACAAAATTTTTTCAATTAAAAAAAAAGAACTATATAATTGAAACAAAAAAAATAAGGAAAGTCAGTTCATATGAATGAGACGAAGGGAGTAAGAGTTTTTTGCTCAGTCTATATGAATGAGACGGAGGAAGACATTCTAGTGTAGTGCGATATTTCGAATATAATTTTGTGTGCATTTAGTATGTAATATTTAATTATAGTGGATAACATAAAAAGCATTTATTCTAATTTGTTTTTCTTCGTTGATGGTGTGTTGTGTTGTATACGTTTTACCAAACATGTCATCAAATTGATGAATTTTAATGATTTGAGAGAATTCTGAATGGGGTTATGGCAATCTGAAAATGAGACGTGGTACCAAGCATGCCACTTAAATTGTTCGAATCTCCACATTAATCGACATAAATAACGTTACGAAGATTATGAACGAGATTATGACAATCTTAAAACGAGATATGTTCGAGTTTAACTATGCATCTTTTGTTTGTTATTAATTAATTGTACTTATATTTATTGAAGAAATTACTATTTACTTACTTGGTTATTAGCATTCTATTAAGACATGCACACATTCACATCTCATATGTATAACACGCGTATTAATATGACTGGAACAAACAGTTATAATTTATCAGTAATGAATTATACATACACTTTTTAGATTATACTAGTCGTACGCACGTGCAAGACACGTGCCGTAGTATAGTTGGATACGTAATAGCGTTGACTGATTTTTGATTATTTTTGAAGATATCACTAATTAAATCTTATTTAGCAAAATTTCTTCAATAGAAAACATTAAAGTTACGGCGAAAAATAAACAATAAACAAAAAGGAAGTTAGAAACAAAATGGGAAATTATTCATTATCAACAACCAATAGAAATCAATTCAAATTTAAAAACACCCATACACTAACAAACTGCCAAGATATTGATGTTTCTTCTTTCTTCCTCTATTTTTTTGAAGTACAAACCTTCAGAGGCCTTGCATATCACATTTTTAGTTTTTTTAGGGTGGGTAGAAAATGAAAATTAACGATTATGATTTTACGTTTAATAATTTAAGATAATTTTTATATTTAAACTTAATCGACAATATATTTATTATTATCATATTTTATTTTATTTTTAAAAAATTTAAATCGTTCCAAATGGATATTCATATCGTGAAATATCGAATCAGGCGTTATACGAAAAATAAAGTTTGAAAAAAATGACATTGAAATGGGGTTGAAATTGAAAAGAAATATAAACAATCACGACTTTACATTTCATAATTAATGTAAAATTATTTTTTATATTTAAAATTTATCGGCCATATATTTATCGTGGCTGCACTATAACATTTAAAACAAAATTTAAATCGCTTAAAACACATATTTGTAACTTAAAATACTGAATGAAACGTAAAAAAAAAATGGCTTAATTTAAGATGAAAACTGAAGAAAAATGAAATTGAGATAAATTAGTGTGAGTATGGAGGTTGAGGGTGGGTAGAAAAGGAAAATTAACGATTATGATTTTACGTTTAATAATTTAAGATAATTTTTATATTTAAACTTAATCGACAATATATTTATAATTATCA